GGATAAATGCTCACTAATAGGGATGTTAACAAATTTGTGCACAAAATATGAGATAAATAAGCTTTTTGTGCATATGGAACATTTCTGGGATCTTTTAATTCAGCTCATTAAACATGGGACCAACACTTTACATGTTCCGTTTATATTTTTGTTCAGTATATATTATTGATCGATTGACTATGACTTTTCAAATTACCCAGCAGTGCTAGTTGCAGAGTTAGCTCCAATTAAATGTTGTAATTCTTCAGCCATTCCTGAACCTGCGACCAAAAACCAAAACAAGTGATCCAATGATTCTGTCTCTATGGCGGGTTTGCATGAATCCCAGCCTTTGTCTGTTCGATACTGACTAATCCTTATTCAAAATGATGAGGGTTGACAGAATTGTCTTATGTCAGATTTGGTTGGTCAAGTGACTGTGATATGGTCTAACTTAGGTAACTTAGGTTGTGTAACTTATGTAAGGGACTAGTGCTACGTAGGTGTGACGTCATCTGTCGGAAGACTTTGGTGGCGTTCCAGGCCGACTACGTTGCAGACGTTGCGTTTCACCAACCAATGGGTGCGTGCCACATCATCGACTGCGCATTCAGGCATCAGGTGCTTGATCATATGATGTGGTTAGCAGATATTTAAAACACCTATCCAGGCGTTGTGAGACCTTGTCAGGCGTCTGAAATGTAGTCAGCCTGGAACGCGACCAAAGGCTGAGAGAGGTGTGCAGATAGGAGGGGTGTGGCATAAAGGTTAGAGGGGTAGGGCTTGCTGGGTGCGGCTTATCTTAAGGAGGAGTCAGATACTTCATGACATCCTCCAAGGGAACCTATATATATATATATATACAGTACCAGTCAAAAGTATGGACACACCTACTCATTCAAGGGTTTTTATTAATTTTTTTACTATTTTCTACATTGTAGAATAATAGTGAAGACATCAAAATTATGAAATAACACATATGGACTAATGTAGTAACCAAAAAAGTGTTAAACAAATCAAAATATATTTTATATTTGAGATCCTTCAAAGTAGCCACCCTTTGCCTTGATGACAGCTTTGCACAATCTTGGCATTCTCTCAACCAGCTTCACCTGGAATGCTTTTCCAACAGTCTTGAAGGAGTTCCCACATATGCTGAGCACTTGTTGGCTGCTTTTCCTTCACTCACCATCTCAATTGGATTGAGGTCGGGTGATTGTGGAGGCCAGGTCATCTGATGGAGTCTCTCCCTACTCAAGTGCAGTTGGGGTATATAAACTACAGAGTCAGAGCATTTATCCCACTGTAAAGCTTTTGGACATGTTAAAGTGTTTGCAGAACTTAGAAGTCGAGATGTCCAAGTCCATGTCCAAGTTGTGGAAAATATCATATCATGTGTTTTAAAAGTGATGAAAATGTGACATGTTGCAATTGTGTTGGGAACCATGAAGCCACGTCTTTGGAATGCCCGACAAGGGTGAAAGATAATTAGGTGGCCAAAGTCAGGGCTGTCCGGAGCATTTCATATGCAGCGGCTGTTAAAAGGGTTGAGAGTTCGAATGGTGCTCCTGAAGAGTCCATGGTGGTGGATAGGCCTTCACTGCAGGCTGCAGGGGTTGCCTTTCACCAGCAGGACCCAGATATTTTAAAGGTTAAGAAGGTGGACTTTGTGGTCTTTATAGCTATGGGGATTAATGGAACTGCCAAGGTGGAGAGGAGGTCCAGTAAAATAGATATCATTGTGGATGCGGCGGAGCCGGTTCCTAGGACTGAAAGATTTCTTGGCGGAGGACTTGCATGGAGTATTGTCACAAGCCGTACCACCCTCTCAGGCCCTAGAGCCTGAGAAGGGAGATATGGAGATTTGAAGGAAAGAAGAAGTGGGAGTTTTGTTTTGTTTTGTTTTTGTCAATGTACAATTTTTTGGAGGAGTGGATTAAGTTAGTTTTCCCTTACACATATGGATTAAATTCTTACCCTGTTTTTTCAACCTGTCCAATTGGTGGCGGCAACAAACCTTTTTGGGTTGTGTCCGCCATAAAACCCACAGAAGAAGAAGAACCTATGCTTCAGAGGGGAGGGCCATGTTACCTACACACACACACTGGCAGGCACATGCTAGAATACGTTTCTGAGTGACAGTGTGAGGGCTTTGCATAGGCACTTTGTTGCAATTTTTGTAGGACTGGAAAAAATGCCCGGAACGTAATAGAACGTTATTAACTGTTTACCATGCATTTAAAATAATGGTTCTGTTTCGGAACAGTATAGATCACAGTATAGATCACTCATTTGTTCCTCAAATAATTTCCTTATTTTCCGGTTTTCGGTTCTGTTCCCTTAACCGGTTCCAACCCTTGATTATAACACAGACTAGTTATAAGAGTGCCTTTTCCTCTGCCATTTATTCAGACCCTTTGCTATGAGACTCGAAATTGAGCTCAGGTGCATCCTATTTCCATTGATCATCCTTGAGATGTTTCTACAACTTGACTGGAGTCCACCTGTGGTCATTTCAGTTGATTGGACATGATTTGGAAAGGCACACACACCTGTCTATATAAGGTCCCACAGTTGACAGTGCATGTCAGAGCAAAAACCAAGCCATGAGGTTGAAGGAGTTGTACGTAGAGCGCCGAGACAGGATTGTGTTGAGACACAGATCTGGGGAAGGGTACCAAAAAATGTCTGCAGCATTGAAGAATTAGGTGGCCAAAGAACAAAGTGCCATCATTCTTAAATGGAAGAAGTTTGGAACCACCAAGACTCTTCCTAGAGCTGGCCACCCGGCCAAACTGAGCAATTGGGGGAGAAGGTCCTTGGTCAGGGAGGTGACCAAGAACCCAATGGTCACTCTGACAGAGCTCCAGAGTTCCTCTGTGGAGATGGGAGAACCTTCCAGAAGGACAACCATCTCTGCAGCAGTCCACCAGTCAGGCCTTTATGGTAGAGTGGCCAGACGGAAGCCACTCCTCAGTAAAAGGCACATGACAGCCCGCCTGGAGTTTGCCAAAAGGCACCTAAAGGACTCAGACTATGAAAAACAATATTCTCTGGTCTGATGAAACCAAGATCTTGGTCTGAATGCCAAGCCTTGCGTCTGGAGTAAACCTGGCACCGCTCATCACCTGGCCAATACCATCCCTACGGTGAAGCATGGTGGTGGGGATGTTATATTTCAAAAAACCTGTTTTTGCTTCGTCATTATGGGGTATTGTGTGTAGATTGATGAAACAAACAATTTAATCCATGTTAGAATAAGGCCGTAACGTAACAAAATGTGGAAAGAGTCAAGGGGTCTAAATCCTCTGTAGCTCAGCTGGTAGAGCACGGCGCTTGTAACGCCAAGGTAGTGGGTTCGATCCCCGGGACCACCCATACACAAAAATGTATGCACGAATGACTGTAAGTCGCTTTGGATAAAAGTGTCTGCTAAATGGCATATTATTATTATTATTAATACTTTACGAATGCACTGTATGTGGAAAGATATTCTCATCGGTCAGTCAGTCGCTACCGGCAACAGTGCATTATTAACAGAGCAGGTACAATGTTTATTGGCAGTAGTCTCTGACAGAAACTCTCGTTTCTATGGACATACTGGCTACGTCCCAAATGGCGCCCTATTCCCTACAGTATATGCCTTCAGAAAGTATCCATACCCCTTGACTTATTACACTTTTTGTTGTGTTACTGCTTGAATTCAAAATTGATGAAATATTTTTTCACCCATCTATACATAATACCCGATAATGACAAAGTGAAAACATGTTTTTAGAAATGTTTGCTAATTTATTGAAAATGAAATGCAGAAAAATCTAATTAACATAAGTATTCACACCCCTGAGTCAATACTTTGTAGAAGCACCTTTGGCAGCGATTACAGCTTGTGAGTCTTTCTGGGTAAGTCTGTAAGAGCTTTCCACACCAGGATTGTGTAGCATTTCCCATTCTTTTTTTCAGGATTCTTCAAGCTCTGTCAAATTGGTTGTTGATCATTGCTAGACAACCATTTTCAGGTCTTGCCATAGATTTTAAAGTAGATTTAAGTCAAAACTTTAACTCAGCCACTCAGGAACATTCACTGTCTTCTTGGTAAGCAACTCCAGTGTAGATTTGGCCTTGTGTTTTAGGTTATTGTCCTGCAGACATGTGAATTCATCTCCCAATGTCTGGTGGAAAGCAGACTGAACCAGGTTTTCCTCTAGGATTTGCTTGTGCGTAGCTCCATTCCATTTCTTTTTTATCCTGAAAAACTCCCTAGTCCTTAACAATTACAAGAATACCCATAACATGATGCATCCATCACTATGCTTGAAAATATGGAGAGTGGTACTCAGCAATGTGTTATATTGGATTTGCCCCAAACATAACACTTTGTCTTCAGGACAAAAAGTGAATTGCTTTGCCACATTTTTTGTAGTATTAGTTTAATGCCTTGTTGAAAACAGGATGCATGTTTTGGAATATTTGTATTCTGTACAGGCTTCTGTCTTTTCACTCTGTCAATTTGGTTAGTATTGTGGAGTAACTACAATGTTGATCCATCCTCAGTTTTCTCCTATCACAGCCAATAAACTCTGTAATTGTTTTAAAGTCACCATTGGCCTCATGGTGAAATCCCTGAGCAGTTTCCTTCCTATATGGTCTCTGGATGTTGCTGACCCGCCCCTCAGATGGTTAGCTGAGTATGATTTGGTAAAATGTCAAGTTTAATCTAAGCAGTCCCCTAATGAAGAAAGCCATAGCTTGCTGGCTGGTCCCTGGTATACCTGTATAAAATGTTTAGAAACGCAGGACTATAGTAAACTGTATGGTTGATCAGAACATTGCAGGAGCTGTAAGACTTCCATGCTAACTAACTGGTAATTCGATAACACCTCAACGCAAGTAACTGTAAAATGAATTATGTTCTCTATTTCCCCCATTCATTTCAGTAGAAGAAGATCAAAAGTACAATCAAGACCAATCATCAAAAAGGCCCAAACTACCAGTGACAACAACATCGTCCGCATTCCGCCATGGCTTCCAACACCATCGCTGCCCCCAGTGGAGCAGAGGGAGAACAGCAGCGGGAGCAGACCATCACCTTACAGCCAACCAGCGCTGAGCACCAAGAGACAGCCCCTGACTCCAGCCAATCGGAATCCAAAGACCACTTGGCAGTAATCAGCGAGAAGATGGAGACCAGTAAATAAATATTAGACAACCTCCCCTCCTCCACCATACCCCCCCTCCCCCGCTCCTTCTCCTCCACCCATCCACCCCAACTTCAAATGAACACCCCTCTCAACACTTTGACCTCATCTCTGTTGTTGTGATCTACGACTCTACGAATGTTTATGTTCTAGAGATGTCCCCTCACTTCCCCTTCTCATTTCCCTGAGTGTCTGGCCCTGTCCGTCCGGGAATCACTGAAGACAGATGCATGATTTACAGATAGCAGCCTCCTCTTCTCTTCAGCACCCTTTCTTTTTTCAATGACTCAATCCCTCCATTTTTTTCATGAGCATGGCCTTATTTTATTTTATTCTATTGTCATTCGTATTCCATTAACCCAGTTCAATGTAACATTGATAGGTTTAGGCTACTACATGATACTTGAATTTTCCCTATACCCATCATGAGGTTTCTACAACCTAGCCTATGAATGAAAGTTTACAATGTAGGTGCACACAGGTTGAGAGAAAAATTTGAGGAGACAGACTGACACATTCAATACCGCCTTCGACACTCTTGCTTGGATCTAGCTGATATAGGGTGTAATCATTAGTCCAACAGTTGCAAACGAGAGTTTCTATTGGACAAATTCAGGTATGTTTATCCCCATTTTGTTCCGTTTGCTTCCGTTTAAGAATTGTTTTTCAACAGAATTTGCGGAATGAATACACCCCTGATCACTTTCATAGCAACCACATTGTATTCCTTCTCTTCTCCTTCTTTTGTATTGAAGTCAATGTACCCAGACGAGGACGGAATCTAGCTGTCCTCTGGTTACACCATGGTGCTACCCTACAGAGTTCTGTTGAGGCTACTGTAGGCCTTCATTGCAAAATAGTGTGTTTTAATGAATAATTTGGTGACGTGATTATATTTAGTATAGTTTTATCTAAAAATTATAACTTTTTTAATGTTCTCCCCTTTCTCCTCTGAGGAGCCTCCACTGCTATACATACTTTACATTGTTTGCGAGATCAGACACAATATCACTATAATCCGCATGTTCATTTTTGGAAATTGCTTTCATTTCAGCGCATCTAATTTGTTAACATTTCAACTGCAGCAAATTATTACTTTTTTCAATTCCACAAAAAATTAACAGCCATCTTTATTCTCTTTCTTGTGATGTGTCGAGATGTGTTAAATCTCAGACAAAGCTTTATGTTTTCCATTGAGCCCATTACCGGGGTGTTTGACAGGTCATTACAAAAATGTCTGCCTTCGTAACGTTAACAGGAAAAAATGACAGGTACAAGCAACAGTATGAAAGAGTCACAGGAGTAAAATGAAAGCAATCAATCCAGCAAGATTTAAGTGACAAGTGGATTTTGCACCACTCAAAACACACAAAATAGATGGCTGAAAAAGACAGATCCTCAGGTGGGCGGGGCATGCGCGTTGCTAATGGCAGCTTCTTGTCATTGCTGCTAGTTATCTGACTGTTCAGAATCATAATAACGCACACCTTCCAGACACATTTATACGCACGCATAGTTTTCGTGCAGTTGGCAGCCAACCCGTCTACAGATGTTGAATCATGTCTGGATTCCCGATTTTGGTGATGAAACGATGAGGACATTCTCCCATTCCTTCTTCCTCCCTCCTTCCCTCTCCTTGCCACCCTCTACCCACCCTACTACAGGTAATGGAATGTGTGCTGCCGACTCCTCGCCCACATCTTCCATTTCGTCCCCCAAGCGACTGCAACACGCCAAACCAACCAACGGCCGGGCGCGGAAAGGAAGCCGCTCGGGGTCCCTGCTGGGTCATGGGGCAGGGTCTCCCAGGCCTTCCATCAGCCGTCAGCCCAGCACCGTGCCAGAGGAGGACGACGGCAAGCCCCCTAGAGACTACCTGATCCTGGCCATCCTGTCCTGCTTCTGCCCCTTGTGGCCCATCAACATTGTGGGTCTCGTCTTCTCTGTTATGGTGAGTGGAAATGTGAAGTATTTGACATGTGGTTGGTAAGTGTTGTCTGTGATGAAATGCGTGTGTGTGTGTGTGTTCATGCGTGCGTGTGATATCTTAGAAACACCACAAAGATGAACAGCAGAAAGCAGTGGGAGGCCGCGGTGTGTTAGTGATCACCTGCTGGGAAATGAACAGAAAATGATGGCCAATGTTCTGATCAGAAGAGATAGGAGTGCCACCCACTACTTTTAACCTTTTGTCTTCACAGTGTGTTTTGCCTGTGTGTCTGTCTCTCCGTCTGTCTGTCTGTCTGTCTGTGTCTACCTGCATGCATGGGTCTATTTGTGTGTGTATGTTGAAGCAGGGGTATGTGAATTATTTACTGTGTGTATTTATTTACATGTCATGTCTGTCTTCCTCATGCAGTGGCCCTTTATATTCACCAACTAGGGTCCCAAAATTCCCAGGTTTTCCAGAAATCCCAGATTGTGGATTCCTGGGTTTCCTGCTTATTCCCTCCTGATTCCAGGAGTCTTTCAACCAGGATTTCTGGACAACCTGGTAATTTTGGGAAACTTACCAGCATTTTGTAACCTAATCAATAAAATGTCTCCCCATTCTCCAGTCGAGGAAAAGCCTACAGCTAGGGAACGTTGACGGGGCGCGGCGTCTGGGCCGGAACGCAATGGTGCTGTCTATCGTCTCGCTAGTTGGCGGGGTCATCATCATCATCGCGGCCATCGTCTTAAACTGGGGAAGTGAGTGGCCAAAGTGGCTGAGCTCTCGAGTTCTTGTTGCAGTGCCGTTTTGTGTCTGTCGTTACGTGCAGCTTTTGTTTGTTTGTTTGTGTGTTCTATCCTGCTTTTGGTCACGTCTGTGTTTGTGCTTGATTTTTGGTGGTGGGTTAGGTTACTGCCCGTTGTTGTACTTATTATCATTAATTTTTTTCTTGGCCGGGATTCAATCTGATTGCGTTGTCAACAATGCACCATTTAAAGGTAATTTCCGATTGAGTCGACATATAGTGCATTCGGAAAGTATTCAGACCCCTTCACTTTGATTGGACATGATTTGGAAAGGCACACATCTGTCTATATAAGGTCCCACAGTTGACAGTGCATGTCAGAGCAAAAACCAAGCTATAAGGTCGAAGGAATTGTCCGTAGAGCTCCGAGACAGGATTGTGTCGAGGCACAGGGGAAGGGTACCAAAAACAATTCTGCAGCATTGAAAGTCCCCAAGAACACAGTGGCTTCCATCATTCTTAAATTGAAAAAGTTTGGAACCACCAAGACTCTTCCTAGAGCTGGCCGCCCGGCCTAACTGAGCAATCAGGGGAGAAGGGATTTGGTGATTCCTCTGTAGAGATGAGGTGGGAACTCGATGGTCACTCTGACAGAGCTGCAGAGTTCCTCTGTAGAGATGGGAGAACCTTCCAGAAGACCAACCATCTCTGCAGCACTCCACCAATCAGGCCTTTATGGTAGAGTGGCCAGACGGAAGCCACTCCTCAGTAAAAGGCACATCATAGCCCGCTTGGAGTTTGCCAAAGGGCACCTAAAGGACTCTCAGACCATGAGAAACAAGATTTTTGGTCTGATGAAACCAAGATTGAACTCTTTGGCTTGAATGCCAAGCGTCACGTCTGGAGGAAACCTGGCACCCTCCCTACGGTTAAGCATGGTCATGGCAGCATCATGCTGTGGGATGTTTATGTGGCAGGGACTGGGAGACTCGTCAGGATCGAGGGAAAGATGAACGGAGCAAGGTACAGAGAGATCCTTGATGAAAACCTGCTCCAGAGCACTCAGGACCTCAGACTGGGGCGAGGTCAGAACAACGACTCTAAGCACACAGCAAAGACAACGCAGGAGTGGCTTCGGGACAAGTCTCTGAATGTCCTTAAGTGACCCAGCCAGAGCCCGGACTTGAACCCGATCAAACATCTCTGGAGAGACCTGAAAATAGCTGTGCAGCGTCACTCCCCATGCAACCTGACAGAGCTTGAGAGGATCTGCAGAGAAGAATGGTAGAAACTCCCCAAATACAGGTGTGCCGTAGCGTCATACCCAAGAAGACTTGAGGCTGTAATCGCTCCCAAAGGAGCTTCAGCAAAGTACTGAGTAAAGGGTCTGAATACTTATGTAAATGTGATATTTCAGTTTTAAATGTTTTATACATTTGCAAACATTTCTAAAAACCTGTTTTCGCTTTGTCATTATGGGTTATTTTGTGTAGATTAATGAGGGGAAAAAACAATTTAATCTATTTTAGAATAAGGCTGTAACGTAACAATGTGGAAAAAGTAAAGGGGTCTGAATACTTTACGAATGCACTGTATGCAGCGTTTACTGTGAATGCAGTCTTCGCTAACAGCCTTTAAAAGCTGCATTGTCTACAAACGCGATCGGATTGAATCTCGGACGTTGTAGCTCTGTTAACATCTGTTTTTGTTTTTCTGTTTGTCTGTTTGTTGTGCAGGTTGAAATGTATTGGGAGGAATCTTGTCCTGGAGGCAGAGCTGAGCTGTTTCTGCTAGATGGACTAGCCGCAATGTCAAAATTGGCTATATCGGGTTTTTTTTACAATTGAAAACAAAAATTTGCTTTTTGGTCTTAATTTAATGTTAGTCTTAGGCATAAAGTTTGCAGTGGGGTTAAGGTTAGGGTTAAGGTTAGGGCAGGGCCGGCTTACAGAATGGGCACACAGGGCACGTGCCCCGGGGCCACCGACCTCCAGGGGGCCCCCAACCAAATTATTATTATTATTATTTTATTTTTGGTTGGGGGTCTCAAAAATTATTGAGAGGGGTGGGGGGGCTCCCTGGAGGTCGGTGCCCAGGGCCCCAAATGCGGTAGTTCGGCCCTGGGTGTGGGTTTAAAATCGGAGGCCAGCTAGTGATCACCCTGCAGAGCTGCTTCTAGGACAAGATTTATCCCAATAAATGCCAACCTGCGTTTGATGTGTATGGTTCTTTATTTGCGTCCATCTGTGGCTGGTTTGAGTCAGACCGTTTTCAGTGTTTGTACTTTATAACATTATTGATGACATCTTTGCAAACACCCTTGTGTTTTCTCTTTATTATTAGGTATAATAAAATCCTGAGGGTCACCATGGAAACCAGGAGCAAGATCGCAAGACAGCACACCAACAACCATCCCAACCAGACTTTTCCCCTTTCCTACAATCAAAACACTATCCTACAAAAGCGCCTGCAACCTACAGTATACCCCCTTGTCCCCTTTTTTGCTGCACGAGCATGTATGGCCTGTAATATGTTCTCTGAAATAGATAGACAAGTCCCTCACCTCTACCTCCTACACCACGGACCCAAACGCTGCCACCAGTGGTGTAGTGCAGGGTAAACGTACGTAAACGCCGTTTACGCACCTTTTTAATTTTGCTTGAGTGTTTATCCACCTTTTGCAGATAAATGCATTGAAAGTATTGGGGGCGTTACTTTATTGACTGCGAACGGTGATCAGGAGTTACCCACCTATTTTTTTTGACCACTCGTCACTGGCTGCCACCATCACTCAGAAAGTAGAAGGCGTTGTGTAGAACAACACTGAGGTAGGATAGACAGTGACAACCAGACTGGTTCCTCTGAATGAGAGAGACACGTTTAACTCTGGTCAACGATGCCATGATCTCCTGCAATGGTTGCCTGAGTCTCTCAGACTGTATTTAAAGTCTCTGCATGGTTTTCCGGGACCAGGCTGCTCCTCCCAGGAGTGTCTCCATTGTCGCCGGAAAGGACATCTGCTTTTCTCTGTAATGGGATTATTTCCTTCCACTGTATCATTCATCTCCAGTCAGTCCACACCACTGTAACACAACCAAGGGATCCTTTTAACTGTGACGCCAAAACCATCTCACCCTATAGGATCATGTTAAAGATGGCAAAGGAAGAGTTAGGGAGGTGACACGGATTGTAATTGATCTTTGATCAATGTGATAATGTTGATGGGGGGGCTTTGTGTTCATAATTTGTTCCAGATCGTTCTTTTCTGTGAAGGGAGGGAGGAGTTAGAGACAGATTGTACCATCTGCAGTTTGATTTAGGGAAAAACCCAGGGTCTCCATCTATCTTTGCTTCCTCGTCTTCGTTTAAAAATAACTGGAATCTGGGGAGAATGAGCGAGCCACTCTGGGTTTGGGATTGAGGCAGGGCTGGTAACTCACATGCACTCTGAAACACACTAGCTTACACCCCCCTGCGCACACACACAAACAAACAAACAAACAAACATCCATACACACAGAGTGTAAGAGAAGGCAGATGTCCGCAGCTACAGAGACACGGGCAGGCACACCCATATGGCTGAATGTGAGAGAGCGAGAGAGAGAGAGAGAGAGAGAGAGCGAGACACTTGTTACTGATGCAGGATTAAAAAGTCAGAGAATATAAAAGACTGGAAAAACACAGACTGAGCAGAGCTGGTTATAGAATGTTGCTTACTCTTCATTTCCCCCTCTTCTGTCCAGTATCTACCTCCATATAATCTATCCCTTATTGGTAACTTATAACATTTTACCTTTATTTTAACAGGGAGTCCTATTGAGACCAAGGTCTCTTTTGCAAGGGAGCCATGCATCTTACTTACACAACAACAATGTTATTAAAGTCTGCTTGACAGTATTTACACAATTCTAAACAGTCTACCATCTCTGGTCAATTTGAATCAATTCCTCTCTCTTCAGGATTGCAAACGTATTGCCCACTATACCTCTCACCTCTCTAAGTATGTAGTCATTATCTTTGATTGTTGCTTCTTTTGTTAAAATTCTATGCAAATGCCTCGCTGGGGTATTTGGTCAGTTGTTACTCCCTCTCCTCCCTGGTCAGTATCGGCTCATGTGCTTAGTGTTTGCCCTTGTCTGGTTGTTATTCACAGAGCAGAATGACCTCCCCTCCCTCTGGGAGTCAGTCAGTGTGTCACTGTGTGCCAAAGCCTGGAATGTGAGCCACATACAGTAGGGGCAAGGCAGTCTTTGGCTTGACTCTGGCTAAGTGCTCTGTCGGTATGTGTGTCTGTGTGTGTGAGAGAGAGAGAGAGAGAGAGAGAGAGAGAGAGGGAGAGAGAGCGAAAGAGTGTGAGAGAAATGCAGTGTAACACTTACAGTATCTGTACGGTGTATGGCTGTGTGTGTGTGTGTGTGTGTGTGTAAGATAGTCTTTAAGAGTGTGTGTGTTTGCGTGTGTGAGTCTGCCCCCGGATGCTGTTTTTAGGGAGAAGCAGTTGAGTCAGTCCCCCCCCACTCAGTTTAAAGGTGTCATTCTACATGACAACCACACTCCCTTCACTTCCTGAGCCCAGTCCCCTGTGCATGTTTACAGTATCGTTTACAGTGTGTTTATACTTGAGTTTTTAATGGAGGATGGGTTAACTCTAATGCTTTTACACCAAGGACCTCTTTATGTAGCTGAGAGGCTCGTTGACTTATAATAATAATAAATAATATGCCATTTAGCAGACTTGAGCAGCGCGTTGTAAATAAATAATATGCATATTTATTTGCCATGACGACACATGATATTCACATCCAAAGTTTACTTTTTCACTTCGATTTGTTTGAGTAGTCCAGAATAATCTATGTCAATTTGTTTTTTTTGAGACTCTGCTCCACCCTACCTTTTGAAACACTTCCTCCAAACCACCCTTGAGGTCCAATAGGGTGAAACCCAAAGGAGAAGGTTTCCCATTGGGAATGACGAGTGAGGATGTTCCACTCTGATAATGTCAGGGTTTGGAG